AAAATTAATCTAATTTTATAAAAATTTAATTAAAGAATCAAGTGCAATGTTTTATGTTAACTATCAGAGAAAATTATAAAAACTGAAAATGAATAATAAGCATGTTTTCCTCTCCAATGTATCTGATAAATAACTACTGATAAGGTCAGCCATAGCTGATATATTGAAGGAGGTAATTAATGGAACAGTGCAGTTTAAACATCATTACAGAATAGCACAATTCTTTATTCCACACTTTATGCTTGATATGTTAGAGCCTTATAGCCATTTTTGTACAGTTACATGCTAAAATCACAGTTCACAGGTTACTTTGGGACTTTTTATTTTTGAAAATTTATCATTTGGTTCACCATAACTGTCTGTCGACTTAATGTCAATTTTATTTGAAGTCATAGTGAAATTAATAAGTTTGTCCTGACTATTGTGAATCATAAATAAATTCTTGTAGGCAACTCAGATCTTCACACAGCTTCTTCCTAGTAATGTTTGTAATGTTGCAGTTCTGTCTATAGCCACTGTAAGATTGTTGCAATGTTAGTTTAACAATGTTCTTTCAATTATTTTTTTATTGTAAAATAACTAATTTTCACTGTGGTGCAAAGAATTTGATGTAAAAATATTTCTCCTACTCTTTTGCTGGTTCATCTTTATTTTTAATCAAAATCTCTCTTCATACATTAATTAATCTTGCTGGTCTTGATTTTGGACAAAACTCCCAGTTCTTTCTTGCAATTTCACTCAATTTTATCTATGCATCTGCAAATCATTTTCTAGAGAACCAAAATATTTTTGAGTAAGGTTTAGGGGTTGAACAGCTTAGGGAATGTTTGATATCTTGACTGCATCATTTTATATGATATGTTATTGAGAAGTAAATCTTAATACTATACAACAAGGGCAATCAGTAGCTAAGCTCTGTGTCTTACTGCTTTATTGCCTGCCATTTTTGTCAGGGCACTGTCAAAAGTTACAATTTGGTATCACAGGCTTTTTGTGCTTGTCATCTAGTTAGAGGCAGTGACTTCTCTGTAAGGCTTTGAAGGTTGTTTTTTTTTAATTTGCTATCTGCTCATGATGCATCAAACAAAACACAGGAAACTAAATCGTTTTAGCTTTTAGCTGGTCCATAATTTGCAAAATGGCAATTTGATCCTGTATGATATTGCATAACTTAAAGATATCTCAGGCAGCCTGCAGTCCATCTTAGGTATCAGTTCTTTTGTTATGCTGTGACCATATTTTTTCATTTACCCATTTTTGTAATAAAGAATTTCTCATGCTAATTTGCAACAAATTCAATACTTAAAAGATTTTTCTTTGTGAATACACAACTACTAGCTCTGTACTTCTTTTATATTTGAATGCTTTTCACTATAATGTACATTTTAAAAACATATATTGCAGGGATATTTTACTAACTTTTCCAGTTCTATATTATTTTGTCCTTGAGAAACAAGGTGATTCTCTATCTTTTGACCAATGATCACAAGCTAGTCTGAATACTCACCTATATCAGTATGATATTTATGCTGTATCTTCTATTCAACCATAGAGAGGGATGATAAGTAGTAATTGCTAATTGATTAATTATGGGCTCATTAATCAATTACATTCAATTAATTGATTAGTACGATGTTACTGATACCATAGTATGGGGGTAATGTGGGATCATAATGGTCATGTGATGGTAATTTTTCCATTTATGGCTAGTAATGTTTTGAAGTAATCTTCAAATTATCAATCGTGTAATATGGTGGATATCTAGTGGTTTCCATTTGTGCATTTTATGGAAAAAAATAATTTTTGACTAAAAAAAATTAGTTTGGCAAAATATTTTTGCACACATTTCTCTAAGATAATCTGGAAATTTCATACTTGGCAAATCTCTAATGTTGATTAGAGAAGACGACAAGATCACCTATTTGTTTATTTTGAAATATACAGTAATCCGCTATTGATTTTATGTAAATCAAATAAATTGATAATTAAGTAATGAAAACACATTTTACTATCAATGCTAACACTAAAATAATTTTATTTAAAACATGCCACTATTACAATTAGAAATGATTATTAGCCAGTTAAACAGTTTATATGTGTACATTGTTTGTTTGAATAGGATAAACATAAAAATGATATTCAATAGATAAAAGTTTGAGTTATCAAAATATTTTTCCATCTCCTGTCTTACTCACTAAACTTGTTTGATTTGATGACAGCTTGTTTTGATTTAGCTAACATAATAAAAACATTTCATGTTTACAACCATTGTAGCTCAAAAAAATAAAGTATGTATATTAAAATCATTATAATTTTAAACAGAGAACTAAGCATCAACAAATGTAAAGTCAAAGAAGTCATCTTAAGACTTAATTGAACAACACAGCCCTTCCTCTAAATCAGTACCCTGGAGTGCCAAGATACCTTCACTGAGCCAATAACACAGGTCTGCAAATTTAAACTTCATAAAAGTTGTTTTGGTTTTAATAACGGATTTTTCATAATTCAGTTATGCAGATTTCGAAAATAATATTAATTTTTTTGTGTCACATAAGGATTTTTTACAAATTGGGAAGAAAATAAAACTCTTACTTAGATCAAGTTATTATTTCATTTACCACAATGAACATTTTTATTATTATGTTTGTTAACAAAAATACAAACAAACTAAAGAAAAGGGAAGAAACAAATATGCATCCTCATTCATCCTAATTTTCTTTGTGAAATCTACGTCTTTTAGTCTCAAAACTACATGTTATGGTCTTTCTTTTATGTATTGCGTTTTGTGAAAAACTGTAAATGATGGAGAAAAATGGATATATTTTCGTATTCAGCTTACAGGAATTACCGTAGAACATATAAAAAATTCAAGATAATAAAACCATCGCAGACCTGTGTAATCAATTTCTAGTCATGTGATTTCTTTATTTCATACTGTACATATATATATATATACCTGTGTCTAGGAAAACTACTTGTACTGGATGATGACAAAACCTTCTTCAAATGTTGTACATTTGTTACTGTATTAAACTTATAATAAAGTTGTTTTTGTTACCCATTCAACCTGTTTAAACTTTATAATCTTATCTAAGCTTATATCAAGTTATCTGATGTCTTCTCATTGATAAAAATTTCTGTAGTTTTCCAACATGTATAATTTAACACAACATTTTCAAAATACAAAATAATGTTTACTAATAATATGATTATTGCTTTATCCAGTCGTAGGTAAAGTTTCTTTACAGTTGCTTTCAAAGTGTGTTTCATTAGTAAATAAATGGTCAAGCTACTTGATGTGACATCATAAAAATGTTACAAAAACTAAACAGAAAAAGATGAGGGAAATACTTGAAATTAAAAAATAGATAAACTTTCAAGGTGGGTGATAGGTTCTTAGCAAAAAGAAAGCTGTTCCTTGGAATGGAGAGAAAAATTCTAAAACTTATCAAATGCATTATTCGCAGGCAACACTCCTCAGAGCTGTGCAGAAATGAAAATTTTAAAACTATTCATCATGAATTACACTATATAGGTATTAGAAAATGACAAAATATCAATTATAAAATAATTATGAGTTACAATTGTTGGAATAAAGCTTGAATTAATATATAAAATTGACTTAAACATCTTTTAGTTTAAAAAAATTCATTTTAAAAAAACATGAAAGTTAGAAGAAATCTTGTCTTTATGTACAATAATTAAAACTTAAGTTACTTTGTTAATACTAAATTGTTGTACATGAAAATATATCATTCTTGAAAAGTAGTACAAAACCAATAGCAAGCTGGAAATATGATTAGTAGCATTTTATGGGCTTTTCCCTATAAATTTCCACAAAACTACTGTGCTAAAACTAGTGGCATATGAATAACAAAAAGTTTGTTTTAAGTATCATTTTGTAGTATAAATGTCAATGTATTGTATTCTTTGTAAAATATAAAAAGCGATGAAGCAGCTTTAACTTTGTTTTCTTGTAACTTTGAGATACTTACTGTTAAAAAAGTATTTTTATGAAATTATTTGTCACAATTTCTGTAGATGTGAATGAATGTGTTCGTGTGCCACCTCCATGTGAGTTCACTTGTAGAAACACGTTTGGTGGATATGTCTGCTTTTGCCCACCAGGACAAACCAGTGATTCCTCATGCTCATTTACATGTAAGTGTGGTATAAAGTGTCTGTAAGGTATGTTTATATGTGTATGTTTATGAAAGTGCAAAATAATTTTAATTGGTTCCTCTATATGATGCCTAAACAATTCATCAGAGAAGGTTCCTTCATAATCTTCTCACATATATGCATGAATCCGGAAAATGTTGATGAGTAAGTGTTAAACTTCTCTTTTTTTGTGATGTGAAGAATTCTATGTTCTAATTCATTTTCAATAATACAAACTGTTCTTAACAAACTAGGAAAGTCCTCACTAAAAAGTGTAAGAATTTGGTAGTTACTTTTTACATAGTTCCTGTTATACATGTTAAGGTGTTTTTTGTTAAATAATGTCCTTTAAAGTTGCACCTGCTAGATATTATCAAGTAACTTGACCATTGAGCTTTATTTTTAACATTGTATCCTTCATAATGTCTTTCAGAAGTAATGGGATTAATTCTATTTAAAGATATATTTGAATAGCAGTGAGTAATAATGGTATGTTTTATTATAAGTACTAGTCAAGATGGATCCTTATATTTCATAAAGTAGTATAAAATCAGGTTTTCTATTATTATGTAGTGTTGCTTCTAGGACACGTACTTTGCATATTTATGCTATTTTGATTACCACTAATTTAAAATAATCATTTGTCTGCATACTAGTTCACACCAAAAAGAAATAGAAGAACGCATTTTAATTTTTAATGTGCCCCTGCCCTTCAGAATGTATTATGAATAAGTTCATAATTATAGATTGCAATCATAACTGGAAAATTCAGAATAGTAATTAGCTCATCTGTATATGTAAAGGAATGTGATTGGCTGCATTATGGCATCATTTGATTTTGCAGGAGCTTCCCTTGATATTATGGGATATTGATGATTGAAAATGGCAGAAAAAATGAAAGGTACAAAGACGTTAAAGAAGTGGTTAATTTAAAAAAAAAAGACTAAATTTTTTCCATGAAGATGATGCAAAAATAGATATAAATCTAGGAAAAAGGTGTAGAGATGATGACTGCAATGTCAGTTTTGTCAGTGAATGCTTTGATATTTTCAGTACATACACAAATGAAACAAATTGTAATGATTCAATATACTGTTTCTTCAAATAAAAGTTACTTTGGCCCACTTGAGAAAAATCCTAGAAGCAACACTGATTATGATTTAATGAAAAATCTCATGAATTTTGAGAAGACCAAAAATTGTTACTTTGTAATCAAAACTTTATAATATATTAATAAAGTCAAAATAAACTGAAATTAATTTTTTTTGCACTAGTGCTCAACAAAGACCTGTATTAAAATATGTATTTTCTTGAAAAGCTCCATCTAGAAAAGTACCCACAAAGCAGCCAAGAAAGACAGAATGTGAAAATGAAGGTTGTAGGAAGATGCATGTATCTACAGAATTAAATTCTGATAGTTCAACTCTCGTAAGTGGTGTGACAGAAAGTGCCATTGGTGGCAATATTTCATTTCAAGGTGTTTTGACATCAAGTCCATTCCAAATGAACTTTACTATAATGAGTAGCAAAACAGCTTTTAAACATAGCAGTACCTCAACCTTGGAAAATGTTTTATTATCAACACCTTTACCAGCTCATGAATTTAAAGATCCAATTCACCTGCATAGAAGTATAACAAACTTTGAAAATGAAGAAGACAAACAAGTGAAATTTTCATTACCCCCAAATCTGACAATTTTAAACAGGATAGGGTATGACAATAAAAGAGTGAAACAGTTACAGAATAATTTAACTGAAAAGAAGCAACAAACTATAATCATTACTGACATGAAGAATATAACAGGAGAAACAAAACTTATTGACAATAAAAAAGAAGATATTCTAGAAAAATTATTAACAGACAATGAAGAAGAAATACTAAAGCCAAGATTAAATGGTGAAAAAAAAGAAATACCAGCACCAAAATTAAGTAGCAAGAAAGAAGAAACACCCGAAACAAAATTAGATAGCAAGACAGTAAAATCATCAGAAACAAAACTAAGTAGCAGAAAAAAACAAACAACTGGCGACAATGAGGAAACATTAGGAAATATATCAACTGGCAAAAAGGAAGAAATAAAATTAACTGATAGAAAAGAAGGAACACCTGAAAAAAAATTAACAAGCAAGGAAGAGGAGGTACCAGAAATCCTTTTTAGTAGAAAAAAGGAACAAACAGTTGAAAAAATTAATCCCCTAACACAAGAAAACTCAACAAAATCCACTATAATACAAAAGCTAGACATACCTACCAGAAAGGAAGAGATACATAAGATGGATATTTTTGTGGTTGAAGATATAAATAGTAATAAATCTGCATTTAATCAGTGGAATCTTACAAAAAAATCAGGTAAAAATAAGTTAAACATTAAAACAGATGTTAATGTTTTATCACAGAGAACAGACATGAATTCTTTAGAAGGAACTGGTGATGAACTTGATTCTGTCACTGAATTCAAGAAGATACATACTAATAAGCATCAGAACATATCAAAAAATGAAGAAAGAAGCAAGGAGGCAAAAGAACATATAAATGAAAGTTTTCATCATATTGGCAGAAACAATTGTAAGTTGAAATTTCTTACTAAATAAGAGTAATGTTGATATTTTTCAAAATCTCTTGCTAGGAGAACAAAATATAGCTTGCAATGATTTCATTGTGCAAAAACAATTATCAAAGGTTTGTACTGATTCTTTGCATATGCAGCAGTTACAGTTATTTTAACAGATTTTGTGTAGTTCAACTACAGTTTACTACATTCTGATATTCTGTCTAATTTGTTAGTGATTGACTTGATTAATTTTATATTGAAAATTAATGTTTAAATGAACATGTTAGAAACAAGTTACCATCACAGAAGTTCAACACCATTGTCTTTATAGTAAAAATGATTAATAGTTTTTTACCAGTACAGAATTTTATAAAGAAGTTTTTAAGAGTGGAATCTGTAACAATAAATTTTCTAAAGAGTACTTAAATTGTGTAAAAATATTATGAATCTGATTTAATGTGTTTATTTTACCTATATGTTGAAAAAATTGTAGTGGAAAATTTTCATAAGACTATAAACACATTTGTGTATTAATTAGTGAGAATAAAATAAATTATTACATTTGATGTTGAAATCATTAACTTTGTCACAACTCAAGTTATCCAAATATGTAATTTGTTTCATTTTACAATATTTATTGCTTCCTGACATTTATGATTAGTTGTTATTCAGAAAGACTGCTGACTACAGATTTTTAAGATCAAATTATAGGATGTCAAGTGATTCAGTTTAATTTTAAAACCAGTAAAACAACTGACCTGTTTTTGTTGTCAATTTAGCAGCAGTAGTACCCGATTGTTTTTACATTGGCAGAAGAGTGAAATCTGGGACAAAATTCTTTCTGGACTCAAACAATTGTACCAAGTGCTCATGTAAGGTAATAAGACATAACATATTTCATTTAGTCCTTAGTTCAAAAATATCTATATCTACTCTTAAATGTAAAGTGGATGAAATCAAATTCCAAAACATATTTACCTCTGCTGACACTAATAGCTATTACTTAACCTCCAGGGTTTCTTCCTTTGCCCATTTCAGCATTGGTCTGATTTTATCTCAATTGACCTTAGCAATATTTGTTTCTTGATACTCTACACCTATGTCAATATGCTCTCTATCCTGGTACTGTATGTAAGTACCTCATTCAGATAATGTTATCACTTTTTCTCGACAGAGTGTTTAGACAAGGGTTTCTCTAACGAAGTGATGCAATAGTTAATGTCCTTGGGTGATTTTTGCATCACCTAGTTGCTTTCTGTTCAATAATATTTTAACGAAACTAACAAAAATTATTTTATTTCAACATGTCGTTTTCAGGAATGAATTCCTGGGTTACTGTTTCCAGCGCAGAGGCTAATTAGACCTCTGTTATATAGTGTCTCACAACAGTCGGATGGTTACTCTCAATTTACGCTGTCCATGATCTGAATCGTAGTGAGATGGAGACATATATTTGGTCCAGGGGTGTCTCTCTGGAAGGTTCTGAGCCTGCTTTTGCAAATGATCCAAGGCATTCTTGAGAGAATTTAGACTCACTTTTTCCTGAGCCTTCATTTACAAGGTCGGCTTCTCACGAGGCTAATTTGAATCAGCCACCAACTGCTCCCATTCTTCAGTTAATCAATTGGGTTTGTGAGGTTTTGAAACTTTCTCTGGTTGGTTTTGAGTCTACTCCTTCCTTCATGGTGGAAAGGTCTGAAGACAAATACTTAGTTTTTCCTCCTTCACCTGATATTGCTGTTCATGCAGAGAGGTTTACCACTCAGTTATGTGAAGGATAGCTATTCCTTGTCCCCCACATTTGTCAAACAGCACACTTTGGCTTACCACCAACAGGAGGACGTATGCTTCATCCACTTTTGGAAATGTTGGATTCCAGAATTGTGCCTATGATCACTTTGAACAGATCACAATTTTCTAGGATTTGTCTGACCCTTACCACAGTTCTGAGGTATTTATCATCCCTCCAAATTGTGTCAAAAGTCTCTCAGTGATCCCCACATCGATTTGATGATGAATTGGGTCTTTTGCTGACTTCTAACTTTGTAAGATTGTCAGCTTCTGCTATTCCTTTTGTTTCCTGGCTTGTATGTTGTTGAGAGATGCCTTGTTGGAGAGAGTTTGTTTACCTGCTGCCACCCTCTGTGAATTACAAGAGGCTCCTTTTCTTCCTCATGTGATGCTTGTGGGCATTCCAAAGGCATTGGAGTCACAGATTGATGTTGCCTGTTTGCATTCTTTCTTGTCATCTTTGGCTCCTACTGAAAGTCATGGCACTACTGTTCATCATGTGTCCTGACACCCAGCTTTAGCTCTTCGATCTTTTGGTACCCAGAATAAATTCTGTCTTTATCCAAAAGGCTCCTCCACTCAAGCAGACCATCATTGCCAGTGGAATCAGTGACTGCCATATGCTGGCAGGGTCTGTGGAGCACTGTTACAACATTTTCTGGGCATCTGAATTTCCTTCACCACAGATCTATGGGTACTACAAGTTCTGGTGTCAGGGTTGGTCATTCAATTCACATCTCCACCTCTATTATCCTCCTAACCTCTGGTATTTTCACCCCAACAGATCAACGAACTGTGGATCTTCATTCCCGGGCTATCAGAGAGTTGTTGGCCAAGGGGGCAGTAGAGAGAGTCGATCCCGTTCTTCCTTAATTTTATTCCCTTTTTTTGTTGTGCCCAAGAAGACAGAAGATTGGCATCTGATCATTGATCTTTCTCGTCTCAACCAATTCTTAGATCCTCCCAGGCTCAAAATGGAGTCCTTTCTCAACCTACGTTGGCATTATTCACCAGGTCTGTGAATGACCAGTTTTGATGTTGCCAATGTCTCTCTCCACATTCCCAAGGCAGAATCATCCTGCAGCTATCTACATTTCGTGCATAAGAGTCAGGTTCTGCAATTCAGGACTCTGCCCTTTGGTCTAGCATCTGCACCATATGTTATCTGCAGATTCCTATGAGCTTCTTCTTGTCCCCTTCATTCTTTGGGCCTGTGCACACATCATTATATGTATGACTCGTCAGTTGGTGGAACGGCACACCCAGATTCTTCTATTAGAAGCCAATAAGGCTGACTTTCTTGTCAGAGCCGAGAAATCCATTCTCATACTGACTCAATATATTGTCCATATGAGTATCTTTTTCAGCACATATTTAGGTCAGGCTCCATGCTATGGAATGGGCAGTCAGGCTCTTACTCACATATCCTTCTCCTACTATGCGGATGGTTTTATCTCTTTTGAGGATGTGAGCATCATTTAAATCTCTAATTCCTTTGGGAGAAGCACACATGTGATCCCTTCAGTTGTCACTGTGTGACAAATGTATCATGAACTGTGATCCACTGGATCCTCCAGTCTCTTTACTCAGGAGCAACATCTTAAATCTCGAGTGGTGGTTGGATTAGGACAACACTACAGTAGGTGTTCCTATACCACACCCTCATCCCAAGGTTCATCTCTTCACAGATGCCTCACTTCAGGGATGGGGTGTGTATATCGATGGTCAAGAATCCCAGGGTCAATGGACGAGCAATGAATCTTACTTCCACGTCAACATTTTAGAACTTTATTGGGCAATGGCTTAAGGTCTAGCTTTAGTAAAGGGAAAAAGATCATGATTCAGTCTGACGGTTTCACAGTGGTATCTTATATCTCCTGTCAAGGGGTATGCATTTTCAGGACCTTTGTTTTCGAACTTTGGATGTTCTCTAATGGACTCACTTCCATCATATCAGCCTGCTAGCTTGCCATGTTCCGAGGGTGATGCATTTGATTACAGATAATCTGTTTCAGCCCAACCAGATTCTCCTGACCGAATGGATGCTACATTGCAAGGTTTTTCCAGTGGATTTGCTCTCAGTTTGGGACTTCGATGATCAATGCATTCACCACTTGTTGAAACTCTCAACTACAGGTGTTTTGGTCACCGGTATCTCATCCTCAGGCTTTGGTGATAGATGCATTCAGTCAAGACTGGACAGGATTGCACCTCTATCCCTTCCCCTGATTTGTCTGTTACCCAGAGTTCTGGCTATGTTCAATGCACTCCTTATCAATTGCTGTTGGTAGCCCCAGATTGGCCAACCCAACCATGGTTTCCTCTTCTTCAGCATCTTCAAGAGTGTCTACCTCTGCCACTTCCTCTTTGGCCATCTCTGTTGAGGCACCCTCGATCCAACATTCTACACCTGGACATTCTGAAGCTCAAACTTCTTGCAGGAAAGTTATGTGGTCCTTCACATGGCATTGGGGTTTAACTTCTAAAGTTGCCTTGTATTTGTATCAATCTCTCTGTAGACCCACAATGGCCATTTACAAAGGGAAATGGCACACTTATCACCAATGGTGTCTCACGAGGAAATTGAACTCGCTTCACCCAAATGTGCCAACCATATCTTGTTTTTTGACAAATGGCTAGCTCCATCTACTGTCGCCTAATATAAGGCAGCTTTATCAACTACTTTTCGGTATTCTAATAAACATCAGAAATTATTTGAGTCCCCTGTGCTCTCCAGCCTTCTTAAATCATTTTGCATCCTTCACCCCAAAAGTCCTTTTCAATTACCTAGCTGGGATATTAAGGTGGTATTACATGCTTTTTCTTGACATCAATTTGAGCCTTTAGCCTCATGTATTATGTATCACCTTTCTCTTGAAGTGTATTTTTTTGTTGCTGCTGGCTTGTGGACATCGTAGGTTGGAGTTGTTTGCACAGCATGTGCACAGGACTCTTTATCACTCAACTTATGTCCTGCTCAACCCAGATAGGTCCTTCCTTCCTCAGACTCTGGCAGCCAGGGAAGGAGATGAATCCTTTTCATTAATTCATTTGCTAGCTATTTCTCACCTCAACGACTTCTTGGACTCAATAGTTTGTTATGTCCTATCAGGGCCCTGAGGTGTTATGTGGTTTGCATTAACTCCTTTCTAGGTGCTAGAAATCGACTTTTTATTAATTGGGATCCTTAATTTCCCATGATTTATCCCTGATTACCTTGACAAGGTGGGTTTGCAAGTTGATCCATATTGCTTATTTCGGACTATCTTTACAGGTGAGGAAACTTCTGCGAGTCATGTCTCATCAGATTTGTCACATTTATGTCTTTAGCTGCCTGATTGAATTTTCCACTGGAGGTCATTGTGCAGGCTTTTATGAGGACTACTCCCAATACTTTTCTCTCACATTATTTACACGATCTGGCAGTTTCTTTTTCTGAGGGTTTTCGCCTACCCCGTGTGGACATTTTTCCAACATCTGATATATTATAAGGAAGGTTGAGTATTTTCTTTACTTATCTTACCTCTTTTCTTTCCAGGGTCCCTTACCTCTCTTTTCACTGGATCCCACTCTGTGACGAGTGTTGCCCAGCCAGATGTGCTTTTATCAATCCAATTCCTCACTAGCAACCACTATTTCACTATACTTATTATAGGTTACAACAAGCTCTGTTGAAATGAGGTGTTCCACAGGACCACCTAGGAGCTCACCAGGTGGTCTTACCATACTATGCTGGACTGCCACTCATGGACTATCATGAGTAAAGCTAAAGGGGATATTGTCTGTCCCTGCTGATCATCAGATTGAAAGAATTGGGATCAGTTTGCTTTTGATAATTTTAGGGAATTTGTTTCATCTATTGCATCATTTCTCGAGCACCCTTCCTCAGGACTCCTCAATGCATATTACTCTTCAGATTGTACGTGGAACTAGGGAATCCTTACCACACGCAGTTTCCAGTCACAGGGGTGATGGACAGGGACTTTTCCTACAGAGTGTTAGAGTGAATTCTTCCACTCTTAGAGAATAGGGCGAAGTTGGAGACCCTCCTGTTCGGGTCCTTAGATTCTTAGATGGGCAAAGGAAGAAACCCTTGAGATCGAGTAATAGCTATAACTGTGAGGGAAGGTAGATGTTATTGGAAATACATTTTCAATTTAGGAAAATGTTAACCTTGAGAAAATGTGGTATAAGGTGCAACTTGCCAATAGCTCAAAATGTTTATGGGTAAAAGTGAATTGAACAACAATGAGGTCATTCAGGCATGGGAATGTGGTGAGAGATCTATAGGGAAGGAAGAAAAAATAACAAGGTAAAGAGAACTGAGGAGGAAAATACCCAGTGGTATTGAGAAAAGTGAAATTTTGATGACAAAGTTGCATGACAACTGGCAATGGTAGAGTTAGTTAATCCACAATTTAACAGACAGACAAAGCTGGAAAAAGCTGACAACGAATAGACCAACAGCAAAAGACACCACTTACACTGCTAGGTGAACAAAATGGAAGGACAGTGGGAATGAGAAAGGAAAAAGACATGATTTGAGAGTCTGGTTCTATGGGCAAGAGACTTGACACATCCCAGACATGAAGTTATAATGATGATATCCCTTGGTGGAACAGTGACATGTGAGGTTGAAGTAAGAGGGAGGATCTAGTGGCAGGGGAAGAGGGAATCTTGTTATCAGATAGCTTAGAAGAGGAAATCAAGTTTGAGCTAGCCAAAGGGGTACCACCAGTAGGACATGACAAGGAGGTGTAAATCAAGCCCAGAATCAGAGGTAAAAGACTGGGAGGTGGGTATGCATAAAGGTGAGGCCAGTTCTGGTTAAAAGCAAAGACAGCCAGGGCCAAGGGATAGGAAACAGGAGGAAGCTTGGAATTGATAGGGGTAGGAAGGCATCAGTAAGTGGAGTCCCCAAGAGAGTGCCCACCCGATGGATAACCTGGGCGTGAAGAAACCATACTGAGGACAGAACATGGCCTGGCCAGGAAAGATGGTCTGCAACCAGGTTCATAGTACCAGGTACATGGCAGGCAGTAAGACATATATGTTAAGAATTGGCCCGATAGAGAAGATCCAGGGGTGTGAAAGCAGAGGTTATAGGATTGGGTACACCCTTGGTGGTTGATATAGGAAACAACCCTGGAGTTATCCAAATGGATCATGATGAAATTATCCACAGAAAAGGATTAGAATTGGAAACATGCGTGACAAACTGCCAGAAGTTTGAGTTTGTTGATGTCGAGAGAAGACTCATTCTGGGTCCATCTTTCCAATGTGAAATTGTCATTCAGAGATGCTTCCCAACCAGAGAGGGAAGCATCATTGAAGAGATGCAGGTCTGATTTGTGTGAAGGTAATGAAACACCAATGGTGGTATTAGATTGGTCCAACCACCAAGACAAATCTTCAAGTAGAGGAGAGGACAGGTGAACTATTGATGTCAAAGGATGCCATGATGGTTCATTAGGTCACAAGGACCCTAGGAGGAGGAGGTGCATATGTGCTTGACACAAAGGTATAAGCAGTTCTAGTGAAGCCATTGTTCCAAAAAGTGATGAAACCTCTCACAAAGTATGAGTAGGATAGGTGTGAATCCTGGTGACTGGAATTTTTATAGCTTGCAGTTGGATGAGAGAAGCTGATCACAGCTGCGAAAGGAGTTGAAACACACTACCAGGTGAACAAGATATTGAGTGGGAATGAGGAAAGATGTGGAAATATTGACAAATATTGCTTCCTCAACATGTAAATTAATGGGATCAGATGTAGGAGGAAACAAGATGAGGGTTAGGGGAAAGGGGAAGAGAATTGTAGAGAGGTATGTTGGTAAGAATAGGGTAACCCTTCTGTCCACAGCAAAGTGTGACCATAGGTGCACAAACTGAAACAGACACCTGACTTGACATGGTAGTCACCAATGAGCTTTACGAATCTGACACTGGTTAAAAGAGAAAGATCAGGAAGTGAAAATTGAAAGATGGGAAACAGAAGGACTGGGTTTGGGTATAGAGGAGAATGGTTGGGTTTGGAACAGCGTGGAAACTAAGGTTGAAAGTGAGGATTGATAACAGGCAACCTCTGCCCATAATTCAATAGAATCAGGAAGACCCCAAAGAACAAGGCTAGGCAAAGATCTAGTATAAAAGGAAGAAGAAAGTTGGACCTAAGAAAGGAGAGTTTCCCTACCCAAAAGAACCAAATAAGCAGGGAAAAGGTAGAAGAAGTAGAATGAGCTATAGTGAAGAAGGGAATGAGACTCATCCACAAAATCCCCTCGGGCATGATAAAGTATCTCAGGCTTGAAGTGCAGAGAGGAGAGGTTGAGAAGTATGGAAAGAAGGATCAGACAATGATAAGAGTATTGGGCACTGGAAGAAGAAGCTAATGCCAGAGTCTGCTCTCCTTCAAACGGGCAAGAGAAATTTCAAGTTTTGTGAATTGAGAAAGGAGAGTTCAGAATGACTGAAATCCATAATATACAAAACAAATAGACATGGAAGGTAAGACATGAGGTTGTGGGAACATGGTTGGTCAAGGAAAGAATCAACTTGAATGCTAATATCAGAAAAACGTAAAATAAAAAGTTGTTAGGGGCAGAATTAAAACAAGCAGAATCATATAACTCAGGAGAAAGAATAGTACATACCTGTGATTTGAAGTCCTCATAATACAAAACAGTTTGGGTGTTTTTTCAACAAGGAGAGAAGTTTCCCAAGCATAACCAGGAGCAGGAAACAAGTGATCAAATTCATCCTCTCTATTTTCCCCTGAAAATGAGGGGAAGGACACCTGAAAAGGAGACTGGAGCTGAAGGTCCTGGCGGCATAAGGGAACTCACTACCTTCTGTTCAATGGCTGTCATGTTATCCTCAATCAACCTGCCTCCATTAATCATAGTTGATACATAACATATGTGAAGAAATTGTTCACTCACACAAGTAGTAAATTTTACATGAACTTCTAAGTTCATAGTTTGTAGAAGAAGAATGAAATTATTTCCTGAAATGTTGCAAATCTCGTTAAATTTAAAAAAAAACAAAAAAAAACGTGATGTCTTCAGTGCCAAGAAAGAGAATGAGGGTTCACAAGTACAAATGTATAGAGAGGGTTAGTGTGCAAGAGAGTGTGTTGCCCTCCTATTGGTGGAGGGCTTTTGCTGCATAATGATATTATTATGCAGTAGTGCAATTCACAAAGATTCTTGTGAAATTAGGTGGGAATTCACTATCTCAAACTAATCAAATTATTTTGTGTTTATGTACAAAACCATTAAAAATTTATATTATGATCACTTTACATTTCACTGGCTATTTTTGATTTAAGAGATTGTATTATGTAAATTTTCAGAATTTATTAGTTTTTTTTGCCTTACATGTGACAAATATTATTTTTCTTCATTCATTCTAAAGTTTCAGTATTAACTAAAGATACCTTTGGTGTTTTCATCAAGAGGCTTTCTCAGTTCACTACTTCTGTTTATCAGTTAGACTGAACATGATATATTAGCAGAACTTGCAAATTGTTATATTAAAATATAATGTTTTACTTTATTATTTTTTTTAGCTTGGTGAATTAAGGTGTGAGACAAAAACATGTCAACCTCTTTCATGCAATAATTCTTTGCCTGGACCTTGCTGTCACTACTGTCCAGGTAATGTGTAATCTTATTATTTTCATATATTTAATTACTGGCCAATTTTGTAAAGTTGAATATTATATTACAAATTTCTTGACCATTCCAGAATTTAAATTTAAAAATAACAAAAATCTTCATAGTAAATTAAATCAGTTGTGGATCAGCCTACCAAGTTGAGTTGAGCACTAGGTAGCAGTTTCAGTGAGTATGCCAACAGGTGCTAATCCATCATATGGAGGACAAATTCCTTAGAGGAATTACAAGAGAGTTACTTTACTGATGTTACCAGTGACCTTTTGGTTGTATACTGACCTATTAATACTCCACCTTTTGCTTTTCTTTGCTACACCATACATTATTTTGGTGTACCAAGAAAACAAATGATGTGGTATGAGTAGGTCAGTATACAGCAGTCTTATTTCCTCTGAATGTTGATGAAGATCTTCCACGGTTGCTGTGCCTTACTAGTGCATATGCAGTCAATATTGTGCTAGTAAAGTTGTACCATGTTTGATATAAAGGCTTCTTTTGCAAGCTTGTCAACCTTCTCACGTAAACTTACTCCTGCTTGATCTGGCACATACATCCATGTGATCATCTTGCCATGCAGTTGCTTTGTTTTCTGCTATTCATCCAGGAATCCACCACTCTGAATTTTGCACAGTACAGCCTGTGAATCATTGTCAGATACTATGTTAATTGCATTTTTTACTTCATTTCTTTCAGCATTATAAAGGAGAGCTTGTTTTATGGCTTCCATCTCCATCCTTGTGGTGCATGTGGAAAGTTTTAATGCTCAACCAGCCATATGTAGAATCTTTTTGCTCATGATATAATGAATGCCTAACCAGTTCTCTTACTATCTGTGTTGTAGGAGCCATCCGTGGCTATATTTGACAGGTGTTACTGCCTTCCATAGTCTTTAGAAAGGTACTAATAGGCTTTTGCAGCTTCACTCTTTCCCAGCCTAATCTCTATATTTCCTGTCTAATCAGGTTTCCATAGATCTGGTGATTCCCAATTGTATTAATGGTGGCTGTAATGGTACCTTCCAAACCATAAAAATTTCCTGGGGCAATCACCTGTTTGTTTATTTTTTGCTAGTTTTTTTTTTTTTTGTCGCTCAATGATGGAATTTATGATTTTTACACTGCAAGATCCTATTGAAGAATTTTGCTCTGTGATGCTGCTGAGGGTTTTGAGGTGTAATATGGTCTGAAGTGCATCCTATGACCAGCCGTAAACAGGTTTTTTATACCATTTAAATCTTATCTAGCTGAATATAACTCATACTGATGATCAATATTCCATAATTCAGGATGGAGCAGATAAGACTCAGTACATTGATGGCTTTGGTTATCATGCTATAAATGTGGCTGGTAAAATTCAGCTGTCTTTCAAAATGTTTCTTCCAAAAAGATGATATGGCCCACAAAGAACGGGATGTTTTTTTCTCACCAGTATGTCAGTTGTTTAGCGTGCAGAACATGGTTATAGCTTTTGTAGGATTGATAACCACCCTTGTAATATGCACTGTTTGCTCACTCTGCTTGAGGATGTTGGCATGCATCTTGCATCTGGTTGGACTGTCAATGCTAACTAGATCCATGATGTAACTGTTGCAAAAATTGGTCAAAAAATGTTGTGGTCTTTGAGGCAGTGTATTACTAATGGTGATCTAATGTGAATGCCAGCTTCCATGCTTCATGATACATCTTCTGGTAGTTAATGCAACTATGACCTATCTGACACATATTACCCTTATGCTTATACAATGATGATAATTTTGTTAGCAAAAATGGGCAGCTGGACTGTTGTAGACATCTCCTTAGTCTGAAACTACTCCTAAAATGTTCTGACAAGCATCAATGCTTTCCATGTATTAGCTATAAATTCAGCAGCATTTCACTTCCACTGTGATAACCAGCTAATGATGAGGGTAGCAATAGTTTACTCTGATAGGCAAGCTTTTTAGCTACAATCTTCTCTGGGAGTTTGCCAATATTGTTTTGTAGGGTGATGATTTAATAGCCTTTATGAAGAGAGTGATTCTTCATGGGTTTGGCCAAGTATTTGCTAAAGACTTCAGTCCATATGTCAGAGACACCACTGTTTCCCAGATACATTGATAATTTGACACTAACTTCAACAGGATGGCTTCTCTGATCTACTTAAAAGTGGAAATTCATACACCATCTACTTCCAGAGCTTTATCTTTAGATGTATTTATAGTTCTGTATATCTTATTAAAGATAAAGATAGCTTCCATATCTACTGAAGTTGTAGTTTGGATATTTGTAGTTTAGGCCTCTCTTGCATGTCACTATGGTTGACATATCTGCTGAAGAATGCCTTGCATTGATCTTTGTCTGTATTTAGTGAAGTACCATCATCATTGTAAATGACTAACGTTGCCATGTTTGTTTGTTTTTTTATTTTTGTACCAGCCATAATCATGTGGAAGCATAAGAAATATGTGCCTGTGAGATTGGTGTTAGCTGCACATCTCATTCAAGTTCACTTCTCTTGCTTTGGAAGCTGATCACCTGTAAAGCCTGTTGCACATGTTCTATTAAATGTAATCCTTATCTCCTTTGTAATGGCTGGGTCAGGCCTTGTCTGTATGAATGCAGTGTGGGCTTGATTGCATGCTTTCCAGTATCATTTTTTTACCAGTATTGGGTGTCCTTTTTTTTGCAGAAGCTGTTGCCTTGACTTCATTTGATGGTGGAGAGATACTTGAGGATACGAGCACTGCCAGAAGCCTGGCATCTACATACAAGTTTCTAGATGGGTATATACCATTATATTTTCCAGTCTTCATGCACCCCTCACCCATAAAGTGATTACTATTGACACTGTATCTGTTATACCAAGTAGATATGACACTCAAGGTGGGGTTAGCAAAAGCAATGTACATACAGGAGTCTCTGTCACCGGGACCCTAGTGCTCAGCAGTTGGTTCACCAAGATTTAGCAATATAAAGCTGTTGTCAGAGAGCAGATTGTAAACATTTGCATACTAAATGAGGTGTCTGGCATTAAAGTCTCCTGCTACTAGATAGATAAGTGTTGTTGAATGGGTCAGGCAGAAATCTCAAATTTTCAGCAAGATGTGCTATATTACATTTTATGTACACATTTGGGATTCAGATGTGTGTAGGTAATTTCGGGTGAACTATCAGGATAGTTTGTATTTTGCAATGGTGATTTTTTCGCCAACACCTGTCATAATTTTCATAGCAAATATTACTGTCGTGTAGAACTGCAATGGCTATCCCAGAATCTGAGTCAAAGCCACTGAGAGTGAACTTCTTAGGGTCTGAGAATGTAGTTTATTGAAAGAGTGTGAGTTCTAAAGAAAATTCTTAGGGCTTTTCAAAGCAGTTTTGCTTCCCCTGATCCTCTTTGACAGAGCAGTAATTTATCATGATGTTAAACTGGCAGAGTCTGGTACACTTTTTTATCACTTGAAGCATGTGCTGTATGAATGTAATGAACTTGTAAGTAGAGGACAATTTAAACCCCTCTCTAGTGCAAACGGTGAACAGGAACTGGACATAAAGGAAAGTCTGTTAGCTATTAGATTAGACTCAAACCAGGATTTAATGAGCAAAGCAGTGCAGTTTTTTATTATTAAATCTTTTTCAAGTGTTAGCAATGTAACACTTCAGTTTATGTAACATGACCGTATTGTGTTTTCTCTTGATATGCTGAATTTAACCTTATTTTTATTATTGCTGATGTTTTCTGGGTTTTTTTTATACCATCACCTAAACGTGTTGTTGGTGATGCTTCTGTTGTAAAAAAATTATTTTTCTAATTCTTCTATCTACTTTGTTCATTTTTTATTATGCTGGATATACAACAACCTTATGTTTTCATGAGCTACTTACTCTTCTTTATTCTGTGATCAATTAGAAATCATTAGATTGAAAATTAAGCAGCTCTCTCCTGGATTTCTTTTAATAGTAGCATGTTTTTTGTTTTAAAAGCAAGTATTTTCCATTGCTTTTGTCCCGAGGATTTTCTAATACAATTAACCCTATTATTTTCAGGTATAAAGTGCAAACCTGCATATCAAATTTCAAAATTTAAGTTAAAGTAATAATTGCAATTCTATTTTTAAAATATTTTTTCAAAAATTATTTATTGGCTACCCAGAGCTTTGTAGGGCTGAATGAAGGATTATAATGCAAAGTTAACAAACCACTGATCTAAGAATTTTTTTAGCTTCATTAGACATTCTTTTCATTCTTGAAAATATTTTGAAGTAACATTATATGTATTTGAAAGCTGCAGTAATTTTCTTTAATGACAAGACATCAAGTAAGTTTAGTTAGGTTTATAAAGTATGTTAAGTGACAGCAAAATGTTCCAATGAATCACATCCTCATTTATTGAATACTAGTGGAAGTACCTGGCTTTGCTCGGGTTATTAAGTTGATATATTCTAGATGCCTACATCAATGTATATATATATTCTGAACCTGAACAGTCAAAAATATTATAAACATTTTTATTTCCCAGGAACGTTAAAAAGTCGTAAAGAAAGTACAGCAAATTAAGAATTATTTATTATCAATATCACTGCATTAAATATTTCACACTTATATTTGATATCACAAATTTCTATCACATTTTATCAGAATCTATTACAATTTTTTATCATTTGAATAATGTCCGCCCATTATCAATGTAGTGATGGCAGTAAGTGAAGAGAGTTGCTGTGAAACCTTGTAAGTGTAGTGAATATTTGTATGAGCTAAAGAAATTAATAAATAAGCCTAAAGTAAAGACACAGTGTGAGATAACCTAGCCTTGAGCCAAAAGCATAAAATTTATCATGAAAGTATCCATCCAATTTTAAACTTGAATAATAAAAACAAACTTACTTAATCAACAGAGACTCTAAATTAAGAAATCAACAATTATTTTTTCAATTTTATAGTTTATACCTTTCATTTTATACTTTTAGTACATAGACTTACAACAATATCAGGTTACACTTTTGT